CGGTGTCAACAGTGTCAGACGTTTAGTGAAACTGACGCAGTTTTTCTTTTTTCTGAAAACTTAACATTGGCGCTTTTGCAGTAGATTTGTGATCGATTAGAAAAGTGACTACAGGTGGTAGCGATGATGGTAATTGTATAAAAAGAAGATGCAAAAAACTGCTTTTCTTATTTATGCAAGTAAAAGTGATGTTGACAACAGTTGAAAATTTATTTCTAGAATGAGCGAAAGTGTGTTAGAAGGCAGTTGCAGGCAAAAGCAATGAGGAAAACTAGTGGTCAAAATATGATCAATTGGAAATGAGCAGAAAAGTGCTGTGTCTGCAAAATACTTCACGCTGTTTGTCTCCAGAGAAAAAGAAGGAGAGAGGGAAAGGAAAAACAGCAACAGCAACAGTTGGGGTTTTAGTTCTTTCAGCTAGCAGTAAGATTAACGTTTTTATTGTTAAGTCCAGCTGAACAAATCTGTTGTTTTTGTTATAAAACTGCAAGAGCACATGTCGTTTTAAAAAACTTGTTGTAGTGTTTGTTGTTTCTGATAATGCGCTGTGTATTGTTTGCAGCTTTTGCTTGTTTCTTTGCATTAAGATAGTCAAGCCTAAGTACAAGCGTGCGATGTGCGCTTTTTGGTGATAAGCAGAGAGCCACTAACGAGGTAATGGCAATAAATGTATTTTTGAAGTACTGTTGATAAATTTTTTTAAGAAGAGTGACTGTCATCAAAATAAAATCTTACGCAAAGTACAAAACAGAAAACAAAAATGAACTGATTAAACTTGATTTTTCATCTATATATTGAACTACTAATGTAACGCATAGTTTTTCAATCTGCATCAAATTAGCAGTTGATGCAGTTGCAATGACAGTGAAAACCAAACAAATGTTTTTAAATTGCTATTGGTAATAACTTTAAACTCAAGTTTTTTTGTTCATTTTCAATATACTTTGTGTTTTTGTCTAGAAATATTTTTATTGCTTGAAAATGTGTGATGTTTATTGTTTAACGCACATTATTTTTTAACGCCACGTTTTTAAATCACTACTACATTTAAATATTTTTTCAGTTAAAAAAATATTTTGGCAGAGGGTTGTACATTTAACAAACCGTCATACATTGGCAAAAGTTGACGTAATCCGTTTAAAAATCAATAGTTTCTTCTTCTCAGAGTAATGCGGTGGTAGACGTGCATCATGTTCGATGTGCTAGTGCAGACGTTCAATTGGCGATTTTACTTGCATAGAACTGAAAGAATGAAACAGATGAAAAAACACAGTTAAAAAGTATGCTCAAATCGACCATCACTGTTGACTACCAGACACACACTGACAGACAGTCGGCCGGTGGCAGTGCAGTAGGCTGCTTCCACTGCTGAGGATGCACACACACACACACTTTGAACCTGAAAGTGAAAAAGAGAATGAAAGAGAGAGACAAGAAAGATGCAGCCAACGACAAACTGCGGCAGCGGCGGCGCCAGTCAGTGGCAAGCATCCTCAATGAAAGATGATGTCCCCAAACATCGATGACTAAAAGGAAGAAGAAGACTAGATAAGTCCAGACAAGAGAAGCAGAACGAAAGTAAAATGCATGTGTGCCCCTGGAAAATGCCTTAACGCAAAGATGCGCTGAGAGTTTGCGTGGGGGTCAAAACTAAAAGAAGTAGAGAGAGAGTGTTTAGTGCGTTTGGAGGTGCAAAGCTAGTGCCTTGTCCTGGCTACTGAAACAAGTTTTTTCTTTCTTTTAATTTGCTTATTGAAATCAGCAGCTGACCGGTAAATTAGTAAGTTTTAGCAAACTGGATAGCTGATTGAGCTCTCTGTTGTTGCTGTCAGTCTGCCTGTCTGGCTGGCTGCATGCAGACATTCTTGTTAGCTCATTTGATGGCCAACTGAGATGACCAGTCGGCTTCTAATTAGCATTTAAACAATTACCTTTCAATGCAGAATATAATTGAGAAACAACAAACATACTTGATTGCCTGACCAGATCATATTAAAAAGTTAGACAAAATAGGTAATGAAATTGTAATATAATCAAAACAACTAATGCGATTTTGGCTAAAATATTCTAGTCAAGTAAAATAAATTCACATTTTCATTTTTTTCATTCTAATCAGTGAAACATAATTTTTAATTAAAACTCATAAAAAACCCTAATCCCCAGTTGAAACAAGGCAAACACAGTAGCACTCTTATTAGATTCTGGACAATAGAGACTAATGCCTTAGAGTGCATTATATCGGTGGGGAAGTAGAGAAGGAAGGTACGAGTTCTTCTCATCACAGTGTGCCTGTGCGCCCCACGCTAGAGCCGAGCACGTACGGATTTGTGCTGGCACAGCAGGCGACGCGCTGGTACTCTAATGGACAAACGCGCCACACTGCCAACGCGCACATAACATTTGATGACTGGGTGCGGGAATTGCTATTGGCAGGCACTGCCGGCCAAGCACGGCACAGAACACATTCTGAAAAATTGACTCGGACGGGACGCCACTGCCGCAGTCGACGACGTTTTCTCCGGCAAATGAAAAGTGGCAGGCACGAGCTTATTCTGTCTGCCACCATTTGCCGCCACTGATGGTGAAAATAGCAGGCCAATTGCTAACACAAACACACAAACGGACTAACTTTGTGCTGCTGCCGCTGACGCTTCTGCTGCTGCTGTCGCTTTTGTTTTGCTCGTTACTATGTGTGCCACTGCAGAGTGGATGAAGCAGAAAGGCACCAGATGAACACTAAAACCAGATAACACCAGGCGCCCATTCAAGCAGGCAGACAGCACACCTTATCATCATAATCATCATCATCATTAGCATCATCATCATTTTCATAATCATCATGGTCACCAGTGGTCACATGAGCTGTCAATCAGTTCTGATAGAATGAAAGAATCAAAGTCATTAGATATCCACATTGCTTACTTAAATAAATCCAGGTATGTCAAATTTTTTACGCACAAGCTATGTTTTGCATTCTGTTTTGCTTAAAAACTGTTACTTTTTTTTAATATTTTGATTTCTTTTTTGTAGTTTGTGTTTAATTTAAAATCAATGTCATCAACATCAATTTTTTGGCTCAACTTTACGTCACAAAGTTTGTTTTGTGAAAATCCAATTAGTGAATTCTAAACACAATCTTTACCAAATTTTGCTGATTTACAAAAAAATCTAGTTAAGGTTTCACATTTAAAACAAAGCATAATACTTAATCCAAAATGTTAGCTGTATCACAAAAAAATATAATTTCTAAATATTTATTTGCTTAATTACAATTTATCACAAAACAGTCAACAAACTTTAAGAAAATTGTCAAAAATGCAGAAAATGAAACTACAATTAAGAGAAAAAGTATCATTAATCCAAACAAGTCTATCAACGCCAAACTGTGATAATTAAACTTTTCAAATGAGTGAGCTAACCTATTCAAGTGACGACAATCATCATCGTCATCCGTAAGTATTATGGGAAAAAAGTCTCGCTAATTGAGTCATCTTGACTAAAACTAAACATATTTTTTCAGAAATTTTAAAATTGACCGAGTGATTTCAAAGAAACACAAAAAGAGAAAAGATAAAAAGGATTTTTGCACAACACCGTTCTCACAACAACTTTTAGATAGTAAAGATAATACGAACTTCCATTCAAATGATTGTTTATCAAATGAAGTTAATGATGGAAATCTGAATGACGATGAAAATGTAAATACTTTGAAATACGCAAAAATTGAACCGTCAACATCAACTGCCGAAATTAATGGCGCCCTTAACTTAAACAATAATTTTCTTGAAAAAACTTTTGTAAAATGCATCGGAAAGCGGTCAAAAAAGTGGAAATGTACATACTGCGGTTTTGCTAATCTTTCCACTTGTTCCGAATGCGCAAACTGTCATCTTTATGGCTCGGATGACTACTCAAAAGCTCTTCGGAAACTGGCAATGAAGCGGAAAAAGAAAATGACCAAAGACAACATCTGCCACAAATCATCAGTCAAAGAGATGGTTTCCGGTATGGGCAAACATTCAGTGGAGAGTGAAGATAACACCACCAACTCTACCGCCTCTACTGCAACTAACTCGTTTTCATTCTCGAGATCAACATCAATCGAGGAGGACAACGTTCGAGAGGAAGTAGCATCAACATCAGCGTCATTAGGGCAAACAACAGACAACACAGCAAGCAAAGTTGATAATTTACCAAAACCCAAAAGTGATCTTGCCAATGATAACTATCATCACCAGTTTCATTTTAATAAAGGCAAAAGTCGAAAAAAATTTTTGCGTTTCTACTCAGCCGAAGCATCGTTTACCAATGGAATGGCGAATCACTGTGTTCAATTAACTGCATTTGATTCGGTTCATAGTGAAAATGATCATAAAAAAGTGGATAACTTTGCGGAATCGGAAACCAGTGAAAGACTACAAACATTTTCTAAAAGTCATACTTTGAAAAAAGGTACGAAAAACGACAGTTTTGGCAGCTCATCATCTTCTCCGTCGTCACCGGTACATAGAGTGAAACAGACCAACGGTCGACTACCAAAAAATGTATTCAACAAACTTTACAACAGTGAAATAAGTTTGTTTGACAGCAGCAAAAGAACACTTACAAACTCTAACAAAGCTACCGCTGCGATACTGCATCGTTTCTATCGTTTAACAAAAGAGCTGCCACCTGAACAGAGGCAAGAAAAGCTGCTTCAGTTAAACGCCTTCTTTGCAAACTATAATACTCTTGAAAAACGTCAGAGTTCACTGAAGAAAAGAAAGAAGGAACGAGAAGGTGGAAATGGAAGAGGGCGCCATCAGTCTTCAGCGACAGCTAAGTGGCAATGCAGTAGCTGTCACTTTGATAACATCTTCAGCTGCTTCTGCTGCATCATCTGCAGTCAGGTGCGACAACAGTGCGACAGCACTACAGCACAAGCAGAAAAGAAACGTACGATTGTCAGGAAGATGATCGGAAAACAAAGTTTTGCAGAAAGTTCTGTTGAGAGCCAGCCAATGTCACATTCGATTGCGTCATCTGCACTGTTGCAACATCAAGTAAATGAGCCCGAACCAGTACAGAACATTAACACTTGCTGTGGTAACCCTTCTAGCAGCAACGCAACTACAATGTTTACATTTGAAGAGGCCGTTGAGGCAACTGAAGACATGAAAGTAGAGCCCGATCACTTTGAGAGCCACAATGTCGTTTTGATTCCCGATGAAACCGATGAAGTACTGAAAAGTAGTACTGACGTTGAAGAGTTTTCCGAAAACGATGAAACTGATGATGACTTTCAGCAATTGCTAATCAGATCGTTCCGATCTTCTACCTCATCATTTGACGATTCATCCGCTTCTTCTTCATCAGACTCAGACTCCTCATCCTCCTCGTCCTCAATGTCCTCTTCAGCGAGCACTCTCACATCTAACTCAAACGACTCACTACAGTCTCTGACCAATGGGCTTCAGTCAACCCATTTGGACAGTCAGCTAGGACAATCTTCCTCAAACATTCACTGGCAGTGTGTCAAGTGTACACTGCTCAACTCACAAGAAGAGAACTTTTGCATCTTGTGTGGCGGGTCAAAGCTTAACAGCCTTGCCATAATTCAACCTTCTACTGTCAGTTTAGTCTCCACAAATGCAGCCCACGAGGAAATGCCAAACAGCAGGTCAGCAGCAGCAGCATCAACTTCATCATCAAACTCTAGGTCAACTTTTTCAGCGTCACAAATTGAAAACTGGTGGTCATGCAAACACTGCACACTGCAGAATGCCCCTTCAGAACAGCTTTGTGGCGCCTGTGCAAACCCAAAAGTTGCAAAGCTACATTCAAATACTGCTTCAAATGTTAGTACCTCAACTACAGCCAACCCAACCGACAGTAGCAACTGTCCAAAAGCATCCACATCTGCCGCATCTGCCAGCTCATCCTCTTCTTCCTCCTTTTCCAGCAATGGCAATGGAGTTCGAAATCTCCTTCGCCAAAACCGCTCTCACTGGGAGTGTTCCGCCTGTACGTACCTGAACGTCAGCTCGCGGTACTCCTGCGAGGTGTGCCACCAGGCGAGAAGTGTCCTCACACTGAAGCCAATTGCCACCAATCGACGAGTGGTCAGTGGTCAGTCAGTGGCAGGCGACAAAAACCTTCACCCTCACCATGATCTTCAGCAACAACAGCATCACCACCACCACCACCACCACCACAACCGTGGTCAGCACCTCTACAGTAAGGTGAATCGTGCTAGAAAGAGTACCGATGAGGCCAATAACAGTAAGGCCTCACTCTGCCTGGGTGAAAGTGAACACATTGAAACGTTGCGACGCATCGAGGAGACGGAATCACGCCGCCTGTGGGCGAACATTGTCGCCTTCTGTCGGCTGAACGCCATCAACTTCATCGACGACTCATTTCCGCCCAGCAATGCGTCGCTGTACGCTGCACAAAGACAGCAGCATCAGCAACAGCAAAACCCAACTGAGCCGGCCATTGCCTTCTCAGCCAGCACAGCCAACACCACTGAAATCTTCTGGGCACGGCCTGATGAGCTGCGATCAGATCCGGCGGAAAGCATCAGCAGTGACCAAGCTGCTTCCCAGTGGACCGTCTTCCGGGGCGCCCCCCGCCCCTCTGACATCTCCCAGGGCATCCTCGGCAACTGCTGGTTCCTCTCGGCGCTGGCCGTCCTCGCCGAGCGCCCCGACCTGGTGCAGCGGGTGATGGTGACGCGGAGCCTCTGTCCGCAGGGCGTCTACCAGGTGCGCCTCTGCAAGGACGGCCAGTGGCGGACGGTGCTGGTGGACGACCTGCTGCCCGTCAGCAGGGCCCGCCAGCTGGTGTACTCGCAGGCGAAGCGCCGCCAGCTCTGGGTCCCCCTCATTGAGAAGGCCCTCGCCAAGGTGCACGGCTGCTACGAGGCGCTCGTCTCCGGGCGCTCCCTGGAGGGCCTCTCCACGCTGACCGGCGCCCCCTGCGAGTCGATTGCACTGCAGTCGCCGGCAAACTCCGCCGCCACTGCTGCTGCTGCTAGTTCATCATCATCTGCCAGGCTGCACCTGCAAAGGAAAAGAGTCGGCGGCGGTGGCGGTGGCGGCGGTGATGATGAGGAGGAGCCCATGGACGTGGACCTGATCTGGGCGCAGCTGCTCTCCTCGCGGGCGGCCGGCTTCCTCATGGGCGCCAGCTGCGGCGGCGGCAACATGGCCGTCATCGAGGCGGAGTACCAGGCTGTGGGACTGCGCCCTCGCCACGCCTACTCAGTCCTCGACGTCGTCGATGTGACCGATGTGAAGACTTCTTCTGCGGCTGGTGGTGGTGGTAGTAGTGGTAGTGGTGCTGGTGCCTCCGAACGGCACCACCTCCCACCACCACCACTTCGCCTTCTCCGCCTGCGCAATCCCTGGGGCCACTTTGTGTGGAGCGGCGACTGGTCGGCGGGCAGTCGCCTGTGGACGGCGGAGCTGCGCGCCCGACTGCTGCCCCCGGGCGGAGCGGAAGATGACGGCGTCTTCTGGATCGCCTTCCCCGACGTCCTCCGCTACTTCGACAGCATTGACATCTGCAAGATTCGCGCCGACTGGCATGAGCTCCGCCTGCAGGGCGTCCTCCCGCCGAACGCTTTTGACATTGACAACATTCCCGTAGCGCAGCTGACCGTCCTGGAGCCCACTGAGGTGGAGTTGGCGCTCTTTCAGGAGGGTCATCGCGGAAACGGCACAGGCGGCGGCGGCGGCGGCGGCTCTGTTTTGCCCAACAACGGTGGCCTAGAGCTGGAAAGCTCATCCGCCCGAGGAAGGGCCAAGTTTGCGCCGCTCGACCTCTGTGTGGTGCTTTTTCGGAAAACTGCTGAGACAAAAAGCGGCAAAGGCGAAGGTGAAGGCGATGGTGGTGGTGGCAGTCAGGCGCCAACAACTGCAGCAAAACTTCAGCACATCTCCACCATGTCAATCGGCCCACTGGTGGCGCACAGCCGACGGCAGATTCGCGGTTTTGTCGGTTGCCATGCAATGCTGGAACCGGGCGAGTACACCATCATGTGTCTGGCTTTTAACCACTGGAACACCAGTAAGTGTGCCTGCACTGACTTTTAGTCATCCAAAAAACTTACTTATATTAATTTCCTTTTTGCTACTTTCCATTTAGAAATTGTCTCATACAGTCACTACCCAAAGTTCCTCCTTGCGGTGCACAGCTCAAAGCGACTTCTGGTGGAGACAATCACTGCGCCGCCTTTCATTCTCGCCGACTCCATCATCAGGCTTACCATTGAAAAGGGGCAACGCCATGAGGTAGTTTTGCTCGATTGGAAACATCATTTCATATTAATACTAAATTCATTTGTTTTGTCGCCTATTTCTTAGGGTCGTGAAGGGATGACTGCGTACTACCTGACCAAAGGCTGGGCCGGCCTGGTGGTCATGGTGGAGAACCGCTTTGCCGACCGCTGTGTTCAGGTCATCTGCGACTGCACCGAGTCAGTCAATGTCGTCTCCACTCGATCCACGCTGCGAACGGTGGACTCCATACCGCCCCAACACCGGTAAGTTGCACCATTTAGTACTTTTACCATTGTCTTACACATTTGTTTTTACACTCCTTCACAGTCAGGTGATCATCGTTCTGACGCAGCTGGACGGCACTGGTGGCTTCAGCATTGCCCACCGCCTGACGCACCGCGTCTCCTACAGTTCCGGCCTCCACGATTGGGGCCCATTTGGGACTAATCACGTGCCGCCAATTGATCGTTTCATGTACGGTCTCCACGCTCCTCGACCCATTGTTTGAATATTCGCACTGTAAAAAACCTTGATCACACTTTGAAAACGTTTGTCACATCTTGGCAACTTTTTGTCACAACAACCAACCCTTTACTTTATTATTGTTTTTTCATACTTACTTTCTCTTTCTACTTTTTTGAACAGCATTTTTTTGTTACAATTACCCACAATTTGATTGTCACACTTGATTTGCAGTGAATTTGCCTTTACAATTATACCTTTTACAAAATAGAATAACTGGCATAAATTATCTTAAAATTTTTAAAAAAATGACTTTTTTGTATTTTTTAATTTTAAAAATTTTATTTGACAACGTAAAATTGAAGTTTTGTTTTTTGGGTTTATGATAAAAGTAAAAAACAATACTTTAGGAGGACAAAACATTGTAATTTTAATTTTTAAAAATGATTATCTAGCAATCAAATCTTTAAAAAATGCAAAAAAACTAAAATTATTTAAATGTTTTGTATACGTTTAAATTTTTGTTTTTTTATACAACCAGTATTTTATTTTTACTTTTTGCTAACAGATGCTTTACAAAAAACGCAGCACTTTTTTATCTATTTTTTCTTTTTGAATCGATTGTGTTTTTTTAAATTGGATGCAAATTTTCTTCTGCGTTTGTGTCGATCGGCTTTGTTCTCCTTTCCAATCATCTAACCGATCGAACTTGATGCTGTCGGTCTCGCGTTCTATCTATTTTTTGCAATTATATATTGCAAACTGCCTTTGCCGTTCATCTACTTTTTTAGTTGTTTTTTGTTGCTGATTCATCATTGCTGAAACTGTTCTGTTTTGTCTTTTTTTGCTTTCACTATTCTTTCCCTTTTTTTTCCCGGCGTCAGACTTTCCAGCGTCAATATTGGCTATTGTAGCCAATTTGTTTTTGCCTAGTTTTTGCTTCAAATCACACACACACACACACACACGCATTCCTTTTTATCGTCATTTGGTCGACCCTGTCAGTCAGTCAGTGTGGTACTACTGTACAGTGGTGGTCGGCCCTTGTCTGCCTGCTAAGCTGCGCTGCAATCGATGCTGCGGCGGCGGCGGCGGCAACAACAACAGCAGCAACCAGCAGCCAGCGTGGCACTATCGTCAGCAAGGCCACTGCTAAGCATCATTTCATTCCATTTCATTTCACTGACACACACTCACAGACTCAAAGTCCTTGGCACGGTGACATTTGCCATTTGAAGGCGAGTTAAGATGAGAACGCAGTATCGACGGAGCAGGAAATAGGCGAGGATCAAAGGAGAGCAGCAAAAGTCAGCAGTGAGAAAAGAGGAAAGAGGGAAATTAGGACAAATCGGCGAATACACGCTTTTGCATGGATGGCACTTTGAAACCGGCTCCGGATCGAAACGGCGGCTAAAACATTTGTGCCTTTCGGCGACAGTTGACACGATCACTTTTTCTTTTTCATTTTATGCTTTTTTTGTATTTTTTAACGTAGAGTGGCAGGTTTAATCAACAAAAAAAACAAATTTGCCGTAAAATAAGTTTGAAAAAAGAGTTTTACGTAAACTTTAAGTAGGTTTAACAGAGTAAAGTGTTTGAGAAAGATTGTGATGGCAAAAAACTGGGAAAAACTTAAAACATCAACAGCAACAACAACAGCAGCATCATCGGCGTTGTCTATTTGCTTAAACTGCTGCGAAGCAAAAAAGTTACCAGGAGCGCTTGATTATTGATCAGATAAATATGCAAGCATGTTATGAATAAAAAATAAAAAAATAGTTACAAAATAAAAACAAAAAAATATTTAATTATTGTTAAAATTAACCAAATTTTAAAATCATTATTTGTGTTAATTTAAAAACATTTTTAAATCCACAATTAAAAACAGTTCAAAATGTTTTTTACCGGTTTTTATAAAAACAAATACAAAAAGTATTGCTAATTATATAAATATATTTTGTTTTGTTCAAAACAAACAAAATCTATTGTTGTTAAGCATACAAAAATAAATTACAAAACACTGAAAATTAAATTTAAGCATAAAATTCTCTACAAAACAGTTAAATAAATTTTTGTATGACATAAAAAAGTTATGACAACTAAAATGAAAGCATATACTACAATGCTTAATTGTACTAGCAAAATATTTTATTTGTATTGCATTTTTATTAATTTATTTAAAGTTAAAATTTTTTAATTTTTTATGTTAAAAATTGAAGTTACAAATTTAAAATTTTGTTATTTTATGTTAAATGTTAAAATTAAACTTTAAAAAACTTTTTATTTTAAAAGTAATTTTATTTAACTTTTTCCAAATGTTTGGTTTGCATTTTCACGCGTTAGTTATTATTAATGACTAGAATTAAACACTGTCGTTTATTATGGTTTTGCTTGTTAAAATATATTTTTTAATTTTATTTTTAAATAGAAAATCACTGTATCAAATGTCATGTTGCTTTATCAGTCGATAAAAAATAGTGCATTAAATTAAATTAATTCATTTCTATTTCAAAACAACATAAGTTCATAGGGCATCAAGTTCAATTGTTAATCAAAATCTCTTTGTATATTTGAGTGTCATTT